CGCCCAGGATTTAATTTCCGCATCGGGAAGCCCAAGGGCCCGCGGGACCCCCCGGCCGAGTGGTCCCAGGTGTGAGGGGAGGGGGCGGCCGGACCCCAGGACCACCCCCCCAGAGGGGGGAACCCGGCCCCCCCTCACAGAGCCCGATAAAACCAAAATCCGTTTATTACGAGAAATAAAAAACAATTCTGAGAGACCCAACCGCGCCTGGGGGGAGCCAGGAGGGGGCTGGGGGCTGGAGGTCCCTTCTGGGGGGGCTCTCCAGGTGCTCAGAGGGGTTCTCCAGGTGTTGGGGGGTCTCTCCAGGTGCTCAGGGGTCTCTCCAGGTGTTCAGGGGTTCTCCAGGTGTTCAGGGGTCTCTCCAGGTGCTGGGGGGTCTCTCCAGGTGCTGGGGGGGCTCAGGTGGCGCTCAGCAGGCGGCGCTTGGGGGCCGTGGCCGTGTACGGGTGCCAGCGCCACTCGACGTCGGCCGCCTCTCCCTGCTCCAGGGTCCCCAGGCGGATCAGGTAGGCTGGGGGGGGACACGGGGAGAGGGTTGGGACACTTGGGGACACCAGGGGGACCCTTTTAGGGCTCTTGGGGACACCGGGGGGACGCTCACGCCTCAGCTGGAAACGGGGTCCGACCTCCTCCAGCTCCACCGTCCGCCCCCGGCGCCGGTACACGTGGTTCCTGCGTGGGGAGGGGGCGTCAGAGGGGGCTCAGCGTGGGGAGGGGAGGGGTCTGTCCCTGTCCCCATGTCCCCCAACGCGTCACCCACCGCACGAGGATGACGTCGTCCTCGTTGGCGAAGGTCACCACGCGGCGGCTGTCGGGACGGGGAACGGGGAACAGGTGCTTGAGGATGGTCCCAACCTACGGGGGACAGGGGTGGGGACAAGGAGGGGGTCACCCCACCCCTGTGACCCCCACAGTGTCCCCATTTCCTCCTCTGAGTACCCCCAGTATCCCCTCACATCCCCCCAGGTGTGAGTCCCCCCATGTCCCTGCTGTCCCCACCACATCCCCGCTGTCCCCCCTTGTCTCCACTGTCCCCCCGTGTCCCCCTTTGTCCCCTCTTTGTCCCCACTGTCCCCCACCACATCCCCACTGTCCCCCCCTTTATCCCTGTCATGTCCCCACTGTCCCTTCCTTGTCCCCCCATCCCGTGTCCCCCCACTTTGTCCCCCCATGTCCCCCTTTGTCCCCACTGTCCCCCCCCATCCC